TTTTAATCTCTAATGGTAATGCATGGAATTTACGGGAAAGCTCAACTAAATAACAGCGCTAACAAGTGGGGGGCGTGGTGGCTTTGGCGATCGGCGCTCCAGTCAATCTACTCCACAGCCAATCACGGGCCCCCTCCTTGCTCGGGCCCCGGGGCTTCAGCCCCGCCTAGCCCAATGGTTAAAACGGCCCTGTCTGCTATCTGTGTGCTTTGCAACAATCATTGTATGCTTTCTGTTCATGTGCATGTTATGTTTTTGTGTGCATAGGTGTCCACAGTCTTTAAGCCAGTGCAATTATCTGTGCTGTGTGTGTGTGTGTGTACGTGTGACTGTGTTTTTGAGCAGAGACATGCAGAGATCTTTTGGTGTTCAGTGGGTCGAAAGGGGGAAAGAGGGACTCCTAGAGTGTTTTTTATTTGTTATTGTATGTGACCTGTGCTGGCAAAATTGATTATTCAAACTACAAAAGTAGTTCAATCAAGAGCAGTGAGTGATTCTTTTATTGTTAGATTAACATTAATGAGGCGGCCTATATGAAGACTCACTGTAATGCACGGATCTAATATAATGTTACACATCAAATGTTTTTTTTTTCCCAACAGTTCTCCGAACGTTCACTTAACAGATTATGTTTGCGTGAATACTTATATACTGTAATTCTGTGTATATGTGTATATTTATCAGGATTGCGCGCAGTCGGAAGCGCCTTTATGATGACAGTCAGCGTGAGAAATGAGCGGAGAAAAGGTAGCTACTCAAAAATGCTTAAATTCATCCCCAATATTTAAGGTATTTTTAGTGGAATTTGATTGTTTTATATCTTCTCTGAAATTGTTAAAAAACAAGATCGCTAGACGAGTGCTTAATGAACTCATTTTTGTGAAAACCTCAAAATCGACTAAAATCGAAATTTTTCACTTTTTTTTTGCCTGTAGCTCAAAATTAGCTGGTGCGCATTCCGACTCATTTTGCCAGCACAGGTCACATATTATTTATATTTTTTATGAAAGTTTGAATATGTTATTGAGTATACTGGTATATACTTGTTGAATGCAAAATGATGATGTAACAACTACCAGTCCACAGCAAATAAATAAATTAATAAAAACAAATTGTAAATAATAATAATAAAAAAACATACATAATGCTACTGTAATGGAAGTGGGTGAGAAAATAATACATATCGTTACATATGTAACATTTAAAAGTAACATTCCCCAACACTGTTTATGTTAAAAACACACTGCTTTGTAGCACAAATAGTTTACCATTTACTGCACATACTCTTCTTCTTATAGTTATTTACCTATAGTGGCTAATGAATCTGAAATCTTACATCTTACTTCCAAGTTGTTTTTTTTCTACAGATGAGTCAGTAACTGAAAACCCTTGATTGTATGCAATGCTGCATCCATGCCTCTAGGTGTCAGTGTTGATAGTGTTTGATAGTGAAAACAGTCACAGTCACACTTTTAGGTGAAGGACAGGTTCTTTACTGCACATACTCTTCTTCTTATAGGTATTTACCTATAGTGGCTAATGAATCTGAAATCTTACATCTTACTTCCAAGTTGTTGTTTTTTTTTCTACAGACGAGTCAGTAACTGAAAACCCTTGATTGTATGCAATGCTGCATCCATGCCTCTAGGTGTCAGTGTTGATAGTGTTTGATAGTGAAAACAGTCACAGTCACACTTTTAGGTGAAGGACAGGTTCTAATGAGATTATTCAGATCGCACAAGGTCCGATGAGAGTCAAGGGTCCAGGGTTTGTGCCACTGCAAACCACCCCACTCTGCGCGTCCCTCTTCCTGGACCATATATCTGGTGCTGCCCCACACATCCTCTCTGAAGCCTGGACAGGCCTCTCTCTTCTCTCTCTGTGGTGTGCATGACTGTGAGTGATGAAGAGAGAGGTCTGCTGAAGAAATGTGCTTCTCTCAAATGTTGAACTAGGATGTGTATTCATGGATGAGTATTTTTTTTTTACTTTCTATAGATTCAGTCCTGGATGCATGCAAGGCACGACCTTTTGCAACTATCTTTCAGTTTCTCTCTCTTTTTTACAAATACGTCTTTTTCTTCTATGTGGATTCTGCATGGTAAATTTCTTTAGTTGTTCGCTGGTATCGGCTGAGTGTGTTCATCAGGTCATACACAATCAAACCAAACCAACTCCCAGACCTACAGAATTAACACTCAAGTTTTAAGTCATCATAGACCCCGTTTACACCTGGTATTAACATGTGATTGGGCCAAAATGATCACAAATTGTCAGCACTATAATACAGATGTAAGCAGGGTGCTTGTCTTGTATTCCAGTTGATTATCTAAACATCCTTAAAATTAGATAAAATTACTTGAGAAGGAAAAGTATCTAATAATAAGACTTGTTTTAGAGAAATATAAATATTTTTTTAAAGCAGTCTCTTCTGCTCACCAAGGCTACATTTATTTGATCAAAAAAGTTAAAATTGTAGTATTGTGAAATATTATTACAATTTTAAATAATTTTTCTTTTTAAATATATTTAAAACTGTAATTTATCCTGTGATGACAAAGCTGAATGTTCAGCAGTCATTACTCCAGTCTTTAGTGTCACATGATCCTTCAGAAATCATTCTGATATACTGATTTGCTGCTCGAGAAATTTTTCTATTTTTTTGTTTAATCTTACTGACCCCAAACATTTGAACAGTAATGCAAGTGATGTGAATATATTCACAAAATCAGAGACCTGTCCCTCAAATAGGATCACGAGTGGTCTCAGCTGTCCGCTTGTGATGGGATCACCCAAGACAGATGTTAATACCAGGAGTAAACAAGGCCGTACATTCACACGACCATCTGCCTGCCATTAAGAAATGCTACGGAAATGAAGTTCCCTTCTCAAATCTTCTAGACCCATTAATTTCCAATAAACAGATTCCTCTCTCTTCCTTCGCTCCCTTTTCTTTTCTCTCCCTACCTCTTTCTCTCTGTCTCTCCTGTGCCGGCTCTGTCAGCAGACTATCACTGATAACAGTCCGATGAAGCGTTCAGCTTCATCTTTGGGGCATGGGCGTCAAGGCCGTTCAGTGCGGGGTGAGGACTACGCCATGGACAGGGTTATCCCAGAAGAGGGTCACAGACATGGGCATCGCCACCGAGACCGCAGTCACCGTGCGTCTGAGCGCTCCCTGAGCCGTTACACTGATGCTGACACAGGTCAGAGACAAAAACATGTAAAATAATGGTACTGATGGCATTTTGTCTTTTTAAGAGAGTAGGAGAGCTAATAGTAATGCCCTCTTTTCTCTCTCTGGCTGTGGCCTAGCAGGTCTTGGCACTGACCTCAGCACCACCACACAGTCAGGAGACTTGCCATCCAAGGAGAGGGACCGGGGCCGGGCCAAAGACCGCAAGCACCACCATCATCACCATCACCACCACGGTTCTCTAGATAAGGAGCACTACGGACATGAGAGAGAACGAGGGGACTACGTCCACAGACAGTCTAGAGAGAGAGACCGCCGTTGGTCCCGCTCACCGAGTGAGGGCAGAGAGTGCCTGACTCACAGACAGGTGGGCGATTCATTCATAATGAACATATGCTCTTAATGCACATAGAGACACATTACAGTTGAACATTTCTGCAGCACTGAAAAAAATCATTTTCTTTAAAAGTAATTTTGCCTTCACTATTGTCCAGTATATTTATCCAAACATCTATTAAAAAAAGTTACATTTACTTGGTCAAATTAGTTAAAATATTAATCATAGAATCATAATTTAATTAGGTATATTGTTCTTAACTCATTAGCAAATTGTTTTTTTTTGTTTGTTTTAAGAATAAACATTTTTTTAAACATTGTTAGAAAAGACGAGAAAAAAAAACAATTAAACTTTATTTAGAACTTTATTAACTTTAATAAATTAAGAATTAACCTATATTTTTAATTCTACATTTTTTTTTTGTTGTTGCTTCTCAAATAAACCTTTTTAAAACTTTTGTTGCTTCTCAAGTAAATCTTGTTTTAAGGATGTTTTGGTATTTTTACTGAAAAACTAAACGAAAATACTGATAAAGTAAAATGATTTTTGCAGAGAACCCATCTGTTTCTTGTATTAAAACAGGATGTTTAACTAAAAGGATCAACATTTTTATATCTGTCTTAGGTAATTTATGCTGTTTATTTATATTGTGACAATATTATTTTCAACAATATTGTGCTAGTCAGGACCAAAAATAATGTGACTAGTCTAAATTAATTCTATTTCAGTTTTCACAATTAATAAGTTATTTTCACAATTGCAACAGAATTCAATTCTTTTTGTTGTTTTTTCTTTCTTGTGTCCTCTCTTTTCCCCGTGATATGTTGCTTTACATTTGGTTGTTTATTTTATGGCTGTTTGCATCGGTCACTTTGCTCTTACTGCTTTGCAATGTCTCTCATTCTTGTATCTCTCTCTCTCTCTCTCTCTCTCTCATATGACTGCGCTCTTTCCTCTCTGACTGCGGTGTATGTGTCATCTCCTACTGTCTTTCTTGTTGTGTGGTTAATTTTGTGGTTCTGTTTTATTTGCCTTGTTCCATTTTCATGTAGGGCAGTAGTTCAGTAAATGACCAAGACTACGAGTTCAATCACCACAAGCCTCCGTCCTACGAACAAAGCCCTGTGCAGGGCAACCCTCACCCACATTCCCCCAAGACTTCCCGCCATAGCACCCCCCCTCAGGGCCAGCCACATCCACGGCGCATGCCAAACGGCTACCGTTCGCCCCCTCCCCACCACCACACCCCCACCCACCAGGGAACTCATAAGCCTCCTCATCCCAGAGGGCCCAGGAAGGGCCTCCATGAACCCTACAGTGAGACTGATGAGGATGACTGGTGCTAGCCTCTGGGACGGGGAGGGGTGAGTCCTTCCACGCTCTCTGGAACGGACTGCCGCCATGCGGAGCGCCAACTCGCGGTGAAACAATACTCTCACTGGATTGGCCGATCTGTCCGGGGAAACACTAGACAGTGCTCTGAATGTTCACAGGGGAAATCAAGGCATGATTTGTTTCTTTCTATTTCTCGTTTCTTTTCCGATTCCTCTGCTGCCGAGTGTTTCCCTGAAAGTGACGGACCGCTGACAGTGAATATGAAGACTTATGAATATGAAATCCTGTTCTTAGCCTTTTTCTGAAGAATACAAAAATTGTTTTGATAAGGAGGAGGAATGTCTGAACTTTTTTTCCCAGGACATTTCACGCAGTCCCTCCGGAAATGAGACGCTAGGAACTCTAGCACTCATTTAAAAAAAAAAAGAAAAGAAGGTGATCACTTTTTATTTCACAGAATTTGACTGGAGATTCGTTTATTGCAAAAATCAGTCCAGATGCTGGGAAATATCGATGAGTTTTATCATCTGTGTTTACTGTTGTTAATTATTCCAGTGAGGGGGAGGCATTTGTCCATGTGGGTAATTTGTGGGTGGGAGTTGGAGATGGACGGAGGTGAACACACCTGAACTAAAATAGGAAAGCCCACCCTGCACTTCAGACCCCCAGGCGCAAGTAAGAAGAATCACAAAAAAAATAAGAAGAAGAAGAAAAGAAAAAGAAAAAGCTCCTCACTCTTTCTTCTTCTACGGCTTCGTCTTCTGCTTCTCATTGGAGTTTGAATCTTCTGTTGCACTGCCCAGCTTTGTTTGAACTCCCAGAAAATAAATTCCTTGGAAATTCTGCATGATTGAAAAAAAAAAGGAATAAAAAAACAAGTTTAAAAAATACATAAAGAAATGTTGGATAAAAAAGGGGGAGGGGATCAATTCCTTGGCTCTTTTGTCATGTCCATGACGTTCTCTCTCTCTCCCATCAGCACCCTCCCTCTCTCTCACGACTCTCTGAGATCCCTCTCTCCTGAAGGAGGAAAGGGGAGAAGAAGCCATTGCTAATGTAAGTAAATGGGTGACCAGAGAGATGTTCGCAATGTTTTCTACCAGATTTGGTGCCAAATACCACATTCAATAATGATTGCGAATCAAAAATAAATGGATAGCACAATTATTTTTAAGCTTGACATTTTATAACCTTTTGATTTACATTCCTCTATCAATGTATAGATGATTTGCTCACTTGCACAAAAATGCAGATATAGTAGCACATAAAATAAAAGGCAAAGGACACTCTTTTCCCTTACACCGCCGTAAACGTGCTCTTCCAGTCTTCCAGGGTAAACGCAGAGACAGAGAGTTGAGGGGGGAGAAGAGAGAGAGAAAGAGAACCTCTCCATCTTTACATATGATTTCATGTTGATAATGATAATGTGTGTATAAAGATGATTACATAAATGAAAATAATTGATGATGGTGATGAAGATGATGATGCTTTTAATTTAGTTTTCTACCTGTTTTTGTATTTGACTCAGCTGCTCTTTGTATTGCCATACTTGTTTTCATGTGAGGTTTGTGTAGATGGTGTGTGGAGCTCTGTGATAGTGATCCATAATGGGCCATGACAGAAACCCATCTGACCTTCAGCCGACGTCCTCGGTAGCTCGACGACTTCGGATGTTTCCATGGAAACAGTTTCTCAGCCATATCATTGAGTGTTAATGACAGTTCGAAGCATGCCTCTGATCTCGAGTCTCTGTAACTGTGAACACTTTTTATCAAGAAGGGAAAAAAAGAAAGTAGAGGAAGAGCTGACTAGTTATCGACCATATTGATATAAACATGTTATGTACATCTTTAAAGAGCATTTAGATTAAGCGAACAAGGATTAATTAGGTTGGCATAACATTCTTACATTTTTTTTTTTTAATCTATTCTCACTCTTTCAGTAATAATATTTCTTTTAAAGGATGCTTTAATTTTTTTTATTTATTTAAATTATTTTTACAATTATCTATTTAGAATCATTGTTTTTCTAACTTTTAACCCAGTTGTTCTCAACTAGGGGTCCTCAGCAATATTATTATTATATTATTAATAATATATTAAAATAATAAAAGAAAACAAATAATCACAGAATAAATCTTAATTCAAAATATAAAAAAGTTACAAAACAAGCAGCTTGATGTCAAAAAGGTTGAGAACCACTGCTTTAAACTAACCTAAAAAAGTCCCGAAGACATTTTAATGTGCAAGCAAATGGTGAGACGGTAACTGAGCTCCACTACCTCTACTAGATCAGCAGATGGCGCTGTGATCCACATTGTTCTGCAGCCAGTGGCTCTGGCTCTGTCAGTCTCACTTTTTTCTGTTCCATGTTTATGTCAATGACCTGTACACTGAGAGTAGTACTATGTGTCTGTCACCGATGGTGCACGGTTCTGTGTTCAGGAAATGTAACACAGCCAATCAAACTGCACAGGAACATGTAACACAGCCAATCAAATTGCATGGGTGAAACAATGACCGGGCCTTTTCTGCCAAAACTTGTCTCTTGTGTCCCACTAATCTTTGTGTCTTTTCGGCCCATATTACCATCGTCATCTCAGTCTTGTTTACGAGGCAGAATCCTCTGTGGAATGACTCCGCATACACAGACTGCTGCCGAACGAGTCCAACTTTGCAGCATGTGCAAATTAGACAATGTATGTAGCATTTACTAACATATTATCACGCACAATCCCACTTGAGTGAGTCCTGTATGTAGCACTATTGATGAAACTGGTAAGTTTGTGGCTCTCCTTTGAGACTATGTTTATTAAGAGTGTCCACAACTGGTGAGTATATTGTCCTTGAGGATGTAAACACTAGATACAGGATCCAAGTTTCATGTCTCCCCTTGCTAGTTGAGCATTATTAGATTTTGTTGTCATTGTTTCTTTGAGAACTGCATTCTTAGGAATGCATTACTGAGATGAATCAGTGCCTTATTCACTCTTGTTTAGACCGCACATCCCATTTTTATATTTATACAGCTGCAATGTGTCAGTTTCTCTTGATTTCTTTTATCCACAACAGGCATTTACCTTCACAAGGCTTTAGTTTTTATAAGGAGAGTATCTATATATGCAATACAAACCTGTTTTGAGTTGCAAGAAGCGTCAAGGAAATGATGTGTCTATATGTTTGTGATCAGGTCCATGATGATGTGTTTGACAAAATTCACCATGCGAATGATTTTCAGTCATCCTCATTTGCATGCATGATGTTCTCTCAACTTCTTGATGTGTGTGGCTGTGAGAGAAAAGACAAGCGTTAGTCTGGATAGGACATTGACATTTGTCATAATAATTAATCATTACTAACAACTTCAGTTCATGTTTGGCAAAACAAGGGACAATTAAAAATACAATGCTGATGTGGGAGTCACACTGTAAAAAGAATAAGCTAAAAATAAGCAAGTTTTTGTCAGAAAAAAATAGAGAGAAGCATTTACCTCGAGAATTGCATGTGCAATGTGCATGCCACAGCGTTTGATAAAAAGTTAACTGCAGGAATAAAAAAAAATGTTTTGTAGAAAAAAAACACAAGTACAGATAAATCTTTTTTAAAGTAATATATTCCTTTATGCTCTATTTTTTAAAACAACCCCCGCATATTCTGGGGCGGAAAATCACTTTGATGCAATTTGAAAGTTGTTTGTTTCTTTCTGTTTCTAGCTGTTTTTTCTGCCAACTAGAAGGAGAGACACTTCAACGCTATGTTCAGGGCACATCAATATGACTACTGTCACAAAAAAATAAATAAAAGAGTCAAGAAGAAAATCCTTGCTGTTTTTGATTCAGACCTGGAGTGTGCACAAATCTCTGGTTTTTAGTTTTGAAATCCCTGCTTGCACTATGGTTCTAAATTTCGGATTCTTTCACAATTCCAAAAGAAACGAGGCATGATTGTGAGCACACAGAGCATTTAGTCTTGTTTTCTGTTTCAGCCTTATCTGACACAACAGGACCACAGGAGTAGTCATAGGACACCTCCAGAGCTTCAGAGGTCAAGTGTCTTGCTTAAATTCAGTATGGTCGGTAGAAAGTGCTCTGAGCAGGATTTAACACTTTCCATTGTGCTGCTGTCAGTTACACGCCCACACACTGTTGGCAAATATTTGAAAAGCACCAATATATACAGTTGGCCCCCAAAGTCCCCGACATGTCTTCTATTTGCCTTCTTCGATCAACATGAACTTCAAAAGTTTGTATAAAATTTGACAGATTGGTCCAAAAAGCGTCTTGTAAGCTTAAGTGGGAACAAGGAAATCAAATACAAAGAAGGAAAAAAATCTATTCTGTTATTATTTACTCATCCTTATGTCATTCCAAATCTGTAAAAAAATATGGAAGCCCATTTCCGCCATGGAATAAAAAATAAAATAGGTAATTGTGATTTTTCATCTCACAATTAAAAAAAATTACGGGATATAAACTCAGAATTCTGAGTTAACATCTCACAATTCAGTTTTTGTCTTACAACTGTGATTTTTTTTCTCAGAATTGATAGGAAAAAGTGTGAGATATTAACTTAGAATTGCGAGAAACAAAAGCTAAATTGTGAGATACAAATCTGCAATTACCTTTTTTTATAATTCAGAAACATGCTTCCATAAAGAAAGTCATGTAGGTTTGGAACATCATGAGGATGAGGGAGAGTAAATTATTACCATTTTCATTTTTGGGTGAACTAACCCTTCACTATGGTCATTGTCACAAGTTAAATAGCTCCGGATCTTAAATCTAGCCTACTGTATCATCGGTGGCATGATAAATGATTAGCTTGTCCCTTTTCTTTCTACCCTTGCTCTGTCCTTTTCTGCTCCTGCGTGTCTTTGTGTATATGTAGGCTAGTATTGCTGATCCGAGTGTTGTAAAGTCGTTTGGTCATGAGATTGCAGGAGCTAACAGTGCATTCCTGTGAGATTTCAGACACTGGAGGCTCAGGTTTCAGACTCCAAAAGGGAAGGGCGGGGGAGACTCATTAGCAGGACAATCGATGGGCCACACAGGCATTCAGTAGCTCCCCCTCCCCCTTGGCTGTCTGCTGTATGTCGGCCAGATGTGCGGATGTGTGAAGGGTGCTGTCCTTCCTCTAGTAGTCTATTAATACCTCCTTCTGCTCACTCGCACATTCCTCTCTCGCGCCTGCTCCCTGCTCCCTTACCCCTTCCAACATGGTTTATGATTTGCTGCGTCAACAACAAATATATACACATGGTTCAAACGCAGATTTATGTATCTATTACACATATTTGTTCCATCTTATTCACGGTGTTTGTTAATATAACGCCACAGTGCGAATCAGGTCTTGTTTTTTTTTTTTTTTACAAGATTTTAGTGTAGACAATCTGCATACTCTATATATTGTAAACATTTTAGTAATGATGTTACGTTACAAATCCGCGAGAGTAACCATAGCAACAGCGCTGCTCGAGCGCTGCCTGTTCGCAAAAATAAAACTGCCATCACATCTTTACATAAATATATATTCGGCTTTATAAAATGAGATAAACGACTTGCTAATTGTACTCGATGCGCCAAAAGATGGTGTTGGATGCGTGCGAAGAACTTCAACAGACTTCAACCCCCGAAAATTGTTTGTAGGCCTATCCATTTTTCGCTCATTGCGGTTTGGATCAGGTAGCATTGTGATGCAAGGTTGGTTGAACACAGACTAACAAATTTACATATACTAGGATAAATAGGGAAATACAATCAGAATAATGACAATGGCTAATAAAAGAAGCGTTTAGTTTGGGTTTAAGTACACTTGCTAATGTGCCATTAATAACCTGTGAATTGCTTAAACCTTTTACTGCTTCTATTCTTTTGTTCCCCCATATCCTGATCCGGTTATGGGGGTTGAAAAGAAGTGGGAGTGTGAAAAGAGACGATAGCGATCATCCGGCCTGATGTGTTCACCGCATCCTGCCTTCCGCGAACACCTCCTGCCCGCGAGCCATCCGCACCTCCGGTCACATTACCACGAATACTTTCAACTGAGCGCATACAACTACATACAGTACAAGCCTAGCTGACTCAGGCAGAACATTTCCCGGATAAACCGGTCTCAACAAAATGCGTCACACACAAAAATTAGATGGTTGAGAATCTTTTATTGTACAAAAGTGAGGTAGATTTACACCATAACATCATGATGTCTGTGTGTAGTAGGCCTAGCTTATGTCATGTTGACCTGCTGGAAAATCCCTGGTCATTATCTGGCTGACCAGCTACGATGGTTTGCTTTCTGAGATGATCTATCAGCTTGGACCATTAAGAAACCAGCTACAATATTCCCAAACAAAACTTAACTGGGATTTTCCAGCAAGAAGACCACAAAAAATCCCAGTCAGTGGCCAATCCTGACAGCACTTTAGACGAATACAGTCTGAACCACACATAGAACAACCAGAAACCGTTCTTGGACAATAAATAAATAAATAATAAAGTTCATATGAATATCCGTGGAAGTTCTCTCAGTCACACTTCTCGTAGAAGTAATAGTACCGCGTCATGTCCTGAATCAGAGAAACACGGTAGTTTGAACAAGCACCATTAGTCACAAATTTCCAAAACAACCCGCTCTCCGATGAGCAATCAGCTGTCACATTGTTCCACTGTGAGTAATCACCCACTGACTTCTCCACCTCAGTCAAGTGCCCTTAATACACAGCAGAAACTCGGTAGTAGATGTGCGCCACAAATACGCTTCCCTCAATAGTGCGCAAAGATCACTTTGCTGTCTTTGAGTTGTGCCATTGCTGTTAGTCTTTTCAAAACGTGACAATTGTTCTTGGCATAGGCACGAGTGACAGTGAGTCCAGCGCTCTACCGCAGATGGCGGAATTATTCTGGGTTGCCTGAAGAATTCCTCTGACCTCCAAGAACTCCAGCTTGGCTTTTTTGCATGGTAGGAAGTCGGGATCTGTGGCTGTTTTGCTCCGTCGCTTTCTAGAGTGACGGTCCAGTTTGGTTGGATTGCAGTTTTCTTTGTCCACTGTGAGTCTTGCGGGGTCGCGTAGAAGTGAATGACCCTCGAGTCCGGACCTTTGCCCATCCTCGGTAGCCGCTGCCGAGCGCAGAGGTGCTGTCGTGGAGCTCGTTGTGTCCATGGGCTCTTCTGCTTGTGATGTGTTCTCCGTCACACCGTATGTGTCAGATTGCCCCTTTTCCTCGCTTGTCAGTCGGGCAGAGTGGTAGATGTCCCTTGCAGATTTCATGACGAGCGTCAGCAACAGGCTCCGGTGGAGCCGGAGTCCACCACGCTGGGTGCGCGAGCTGTACATTTTACTCAACGCCTGGACCATAATCTGCTTGGCCTCTGCTGTGATATCCATTGTTCTTAATTATCCAATTAACTTCGAATCTCTCTTTAAATATACAAACACTGTTTAGGTGTTTTCCCCTGAGCTCAGTTTACTTTCACTGTCGTTTCACTCACCGAAGTAAACCTCTGCGTAAAGACAGCGGGCTTTATATAGTTTTGGTGACGTATGCGGTTGTGATTGACACCCGGGCTCCTCCCATGACTTGCGGCTCTTGTTTGAGGAAATAAGTCTGAATGCGTATCATTCTGTTTCTCATGTAATCTGTCAGAGGATTTTATTTTTTTGATGATGATGATCAGTTACTAAATTAGTCATAAATTGGTTATCACTAGGCTATCAATGACCTTTTAAAAATGGAAAAACTGAAGTAATTCAACGTCAATGTAATAAAATAGTATGACTGCTGTGTTTTATTACAATTTATTTTGAATAATGTTATTTTTAATGAAAATATGTTATATTATAATCTTACCCGACACAATGACATTTTATTTTGAATACTGTAATTTTTTATATTATATTATATTCTTCCTCAACACACTTTTTTTTAGCCTGGGTTAATAGACACTTTCATTCCCATGGATATTGTTAGCGTACTCATTCTCTAATGCCCAAATAAGGAACATCCGCTAGTTGGTCCGCTCAGTGGAAAACCCATGATGCGTGGGCTCTTTCGGGCTACTTCCTGTTGCCTTATTTGCTTCAAAAGCTTTCGTCATAGCCAATAACCTCACACGACACGAGCGCGTCAAGCTTCCTCTACCCATTTACGGGTTGGATCCAGCTGTTTTCGCGCAAAACGTGACAGCACCATTTTATCGAACAGATTCCCAGATGTTGTCTAACTGAATGCTGCTTTCCCAAAGGCGTTTCTTTTTTTCTAAATTCAGTCCACATTCAGTTTAGCGTTTGGTGGAAGAAACTATAAAATTACAGAGTGAATGTCGAATGTGAGACGAGATATGCTAATGGGCTTCTTTTATTCATACAACATGGTGTTGTATTAGAGGCAGTGGATCTATTCAAGGCCATTTTATAAAACAAATAATAACAAAATGTTAAAAAAAAAAAAGTGCACTCAGACTCAGTTTCTGGATTGCACGTGGTGTTAAAGAAAGGCTGCATAAGCTCCACACATTTCTCTGTGGTTAGGTCTCAATAAAGCCTTCAATAACCACCCGCGGTCTGCATGATAATACAGAATAGCCTGATAACAATAAGGAAAGAGCTCAATGAGTTATTTCGAGGTAAGAGTCTGGCTGTAGGAGAAAATCTATATGTCCACTCGGCTCCAGTTTAAATGTAAGTGTCCTGTGGTGTTGGCTGCAGTAAACCTTTGCAAGTCCTGTGGCTTAAAAATGACAATTATATTTGACATTTAATACATATTTCCCCAAAATGTAAATTATTAATTTGAATTATTACTTAATATTGGACTCAGTAAAGACCTCCATTTTTAGTCAGTGGACTCCAGGAAGACTTCAGTTAGAGTGCATTACCTTAAACATACTACTATACTAGCAGTGGTTCTCAACTAGGTGGCCTCACCAGCCTTCCAAGGGCTGCAAGATGCTAAAACATGGCCAAAATTATTTTCTTAGTACATTTCTCTTGCTTTCCAGTACAAATTTCTTTTTTGTTGGAAAAAACAAGAATAATTTACCTCATCCCATTGCCAGATAATTTTTCTTCCAGAAAATAAGACTTATATATTATGTTTATTGTTCTTGCACTATTGCCAGATCTTTTTGTTTCTTGTGTTAAGCAACATTTGGATGTATTTTTCAAGAATTAAAACAAGAATTCAAATCTCATGTCATTTTGCTTCCCAAGTAACTAATGGTTAGAGAGTCGGACTTGTAACCCGAAGGTTGTGGGTTCGAGTCTCAGGTCTGGCAGGAATTGTCGTGGGGGGAGTGAATATGGCTGCCCACTGCTCCGGGTGTGTGTACACAGTGTGTGTGTGCACTTGGATGGGTTAAATGCAAATTCAGAGTATGGGACAACTACTTGGCTACACTTCACTTCAAAATGTTTAAATGTTTTTATTGACATTCCTATTTTTCTTTCTTTCTTTTTACATCTTGAAACAAGTAAAAACATACATAGTAGAATGTGGGACTTGGAAAAAAAAAAAAAGTTGAAATTACTTTAACACACAAAGAACCAAAGACACAATCCTTTGTTACAAACTTTTATTAAGATATTCAGCTGTATCCTTTGACTTTTCTCTTACTGATTTTTTACAGTAGTTAATGTGCAATTACTTTTGATAATATTGGGTCACAGTTAGGGATTCACAAAGTTATTGGCACTTTGAACACAGACAGAATGGAGTGGATGAGCACTGGCGTTACAGGGTCACTGCATGAGCACAGCTGGGTATGGGTTACAACTCATGCTGAGAGTGCACGACTAACAATCAAACTTCATTAGTGCTTCCATGTAATATACAGTATATAGCTTTGTATAGGGATGTAGTCATAGAAAGTGAGACACTGCATCGTAAAAAAAAAGGTTCCCAACCAGTTTGTTGTTTTGAGTTTTCAAGCGAGCTGAGGTCATCCCCCATCCTGTCTGTATTTCTCTGTAATTCGTGATAACATGTCCGGACGTCAATTTCTCCGGCTATCACACGGTACTTTACCAAAACATTTGCAAAGTTGGGTTATAATCATGATCTCATTTCAGGGAAAGACTGAAAGCAGAGTGTTGGGGTGTGCTGGAAGAGAACGCAACACGCAGAGAAAGAGGTGAGAGTATCTTTATGTGGTATGTCTGTCATTTAGAGTGGAATAGCAGTGCTGCATTCTGGGTAAAGAGGCTTAGGTTGACAAAAAAACGTAGTGAAAACTGCAAGCTAAAGGAAAACCTGCAAAATACAACCAGCCCGTCGCTCCAGAACAGACGGTTTTGCCTTAGCAGAGAGAGAAAAAAAAAAAAGAGTTTGATTTTTAATACATTGCTCCATACTCTCCCTGGCATGCTGTCAGCAATCCACCAGGTTACAAATTCACAATGATCTACAATGCACAGTACCCCAACAATCTGTGTTACGAGGAAGAATTACAAGATTTATGGGCAGTTAAACTCTCATGCTCTTTCTCCACCCACACAGGCGTCAGCCATCTATCTGCTCTCTGCGCTCCTTGACACAGTCAAACTGAATTACAAGATGCCGAGGAGCACTTCTATGAACGCAAACCCCAGAAAAAGGTGCTTTACTGGGGCACAGAGAGCAGATAGATAGGCAGCGTGATATGGACATCCCGGACTTTTTTGATTAACACTGGTCCCTTCATTCCCACTATATACTTGCCTAAAGAAACAACATGCCGTGGGTTGATGCTCTTTCAGGCTGGTTGTGTTGCTCAAACAAACAGAGCAACTTTTTGATAGCTCCACAGAGCCACAGTACTACACCTTTCAGGGGAGAATCAACCTTCGAATTGTCTTACTTGCAGTATTTTAACAAAAAAAAAAAAATTAATAATAATAATTACACACGTCACCTTCAACTTCCTACTAAGAGAAAGGCCATTTTTTGTGGCCACCAAGAGTCATCTTTCTCAGGCATGTCACCCCCTTGTTGTTGACTGTAAGTAGTACATCTAAGCTGCAGTAACAACACACAGACAGCGGGTGTCGCATGGACACAGCAGTTCCTCTCCAGGATACATGCAGCATATGTGATCTGTGCCATCAAAATGGAGGACGCATAAACACTGGCACAGTCATAGCCGCCGAGAAGAGAGAGAGGAGCACCACCGCTCCACGCCCCACCCAGATACACACGTAGTTCGTCTCCCGCAGTCCTCCTGAAAAGGCACCAGTGACCCAGCAGGCCTTTAACATCTAAAGAATAGCACACATAGCACCAGTACATCGCTCACCATGGCCCCCCACTTTCCCAGCACTTTAGTCGATAAAAAGAAATGAAAAAATACTCAGTACTCTATCATCAGTCAAACAACTCTAAATTGTATCCTTAAAAAACTTGGCAAGTCAACTCTTTCACCTTGAATTAGTAGTAGTTGAAAAGTAAATACAGTACACGTGGTCTGCTAAAAGAATGGAGAAATAAAACGGAGAAGGAAATGGATGCATGCACGTTCCCAGATGTTGATTTCGCAGGCTTGTCGAATGTTACACATTTCTACACAAGAGGCATTATTGTTTTCTGGTCCAAAAGAAAAGAAACGAGGTCGCCGGTCAGACCTGAACCAGACTGCATTTAGTAAGTAAACTTGCCAGGAGTTCACTTTATTTGCTACGGCTCTTAAGCCAGAAAACAACAACAACAACAACAACAACAAAAAACTACAATTTCCAGATATACAAACAGAAGGTAAGCCAGACTTGGTTATGCAAATAAAAGAAAAAAAAAATGAGCTAAACCAAGAGGGGTGAAAGACCTAACGTAAGCCATCAATTAAAAAGACAAGTGACCGGTTAAAATGTGGTCAAAATCTGTTCAACAGTCTCTTCGATATTTACATCAGTATTCAGCATGGCTGGCCACAGATGCAGAGGTGCATTCTGTTCCGGGCCAGATACCGACACATACACATCCAAGAAGTTTAGTCCAAAAACCATCGATTACAATCTACAAAAAAAGGTGCACAATCCACCACTCTCCTCTACAAAAAAAGGTGCAAAAAGCTCTAGTTCAGTCTACGAAAAGGTGCAAAGAGGTTCATTTCCTCTGTCAGAAAGGGGGTGGCTACTGTATGTGTCCCAGGAGATCAGACACACAAAAAACAAACGCGCACGGCGTAATAACTCGGCATGAAATATTAAAATAGCCTACGGTATCGAATTTCTGCTTTCGTGAGGCATGTGTGTTTAAAACCCATGCCTGAGCACACATTAAGACATCACATGCAATCCCATTCAAATCCGCATGGAAATTTGGGATATGCAAAAGTTCACAGGTTATGGCAAACCTTCAGACGGCCGAATTTCCTTAAAAGCGAATAAACGCAGAAACAAACATACCCTAAATCCCCAAATCAATACATCACCCACATGCAAACACAGTGCCAACTATGTGCAAGGAATGTATACAGATGGTGACTTGTGCGGACACAGACATGCTTGCCTAAGCGAGCACAGACAGACACACGCACACACACAGCTGCCCAAACAGGGACATGGGCAACATGGAGAACCTTAATCATTCTGCTCCTCCTCTCCTGGGACACAGGCAATGTAAACCCTCCTCCGCTCCCAAACACACACAAAGTCAGGCCCGAACCTTAAGACAGTAAAGTGACTAACAATAAGAAGCACAATTTCCCTTCCCCCTGGGCTGTAAAAGTGTGCTTGTGTGTGCGATAACTGGGGGGGTTTACAGACTAAAAACACTATGTCCTACACAATTTTTCTTTTCTCTTAAAGGGATAGTTTATCCAATTCGGTCATAATTTACTTACCCTCGAGTCTTTTCGAACCTGTATGACTTTATTTCTTCTGCGGAACATAGAAGATATTTTTAAAGAACACTTTTACGTGCATACAATGAAAGTCAGCAAAGTCCAATACAACACTGAATCCTACTGGCCTTTCACTGAATGAAAACAAATAATAAAAACACCTCTTTTGTGTTCGCAAAAAAGTAAGTCACACAGGTCTGGATCAACATGAGGGTGAGTAAATGACAGAATTTTCATTTCTGGATAAACTATCCCTTTAATCGATGAGAGCCGCAAATCGTACATCACTGGTCAAAACGGCCAATCGAATTCAGCTACGGACACGATGGTGACGAGATACAAACCAAGCACCAGTCTTTGAAATGTAAGATAATTCTTATGCAAAAATAGTCCTTATTTTTCTCACAATTTCCATTTAAAGCCCAATAACAAGGTGTCTCTTGAGAAACATTTAAAAAATAAAAATAAAAACACAAAAAGAGATTTTAAAACAATCCCTCTCTCTTGAGCTCTGAAGGTGCGAGCAGATAAATATATTTTTATCCTTTACAGTCCTTAATCATCTTTCATCAACTCTGGATTCACACAGTGGAACAAGTACGGCGACATAAAAAACAAAGAAAGTGGCAGACTAAGATCCCACATATATTTTGGGAGGAATGGAAGGAGAGGAGGATATCAGATTCTTTCCATTTTAGACAGAACGAGAGACAGAATATGCCACCTACTTCTCTTTCTCCTCTCCTCCCTCACTACTTTCTCCATCTGCTGTTCCTTCAGATCTTATGACAAGCATTTTTCCTGTCTCTCTCCTGGGCCAAATACAATCGGCTAGTCTGACATAGCCAGGTGCTACAAAATCACGAATACATTCAAATTCAGTAGAGTGAGATCAGGGAACCTCGGACCTCCCGTCGCAGTAACTTTTCCTAATTATGCATTCCTATAGCATCGGTGACTAGATTTACTTGCCGAGCGTGGCGGCAAAGGGGATCTTCTGTGCAAAAGAGGGTTATTCAGCAAAAACAAAAATGATTGAAAAGAAAATGGCGCCCCTGGCTTAAACCCCTTGTGTTCCTCCCGTCACTAGACCATGCAATCTCCTCCAATCTCCTTCCCGAATCTCCCTTTCCCATCCCAGGCAGAAGCAGCAGAGCCCAGAGTCACGCAGCGGGGTGGGAGGCAGGTAGGAGGTGGGGCGGCAGAGGGGATGGGGCAGGGCTTTCCTCGCCGCATCACTCACTGAAACAAAGTGCCGTTGTCTCCGTTCACACCCTGCAGAGACTCGCCCGAGGATCCTCCGGTCTCCACCGAAGCACCGCCCTCCAGGCTCGCCGCCTCGAAGGCAGGCTCACCGCTGAGGCCGTCCGCTTCCATCTTGATGCTGTCGGGGAGGAAATTGGCATAAGCGTCGCCCTCTGCCATCAGTAGCTTCAGCTTGGGGATCCAGCTCTTCCTCACCACGCGCCGAGCGTTAGTGCACATGTCCGCCGCGATGGCATTCATCTCGCTCTCCTTAAAGCTGGTGGCAAAGTTCTGGCAGTAAACTGTTGACATAAGGGAAGGAGACATTTCTAAAAGCCAGATCACGCCAAGAACCATAACTATAAAGACAACCTTCAGTGTCCACACCAACATATGATAACTTTCTGTTTATTATAAGCATGCGCTCAGGTATGCCGCCTGGCGTTTTAAATGCCGGGTGGATTCTGATTGGCTGTCAAGGTTTTTATCGTTCAAAACCTGGATAAAAAAAATTATTCTGAAAGTGTTTACAACAATATCATTCCTCTTTGTCATTAGCCCCTTTCACACATACAGACTTTACTGGTAAATTACCGTTAAGAGATCATGTGTGAACAGGACCTTTTCAAAAATACATGTAAATTCGTTCAGGCAATTTACCGGTATGAGAAGCTGTATCATTACCAGTAAATTACAGGTAATCTGCTCAGTTTGAACACAGAATGAAGATTACTGATATGAGCCCGTACAAGTCCAGAATGCGCTGACGTAAGACGTCTAGTCTAGAGGTCTTCTCAGGTCCTAAAATCTGTACCCGACCCGAATCACTTCTTACCCGAACCCGACGTGCATAAATTAATTCTTTTAAAGACCTGATGAAATTAGACCCGAGTCCGACCCGATGGGACGGCATTTATTTTCGAACCCGACTGGACCCGAACGTAAACTGCATTGACGTGTGTACAGCCTGCTGCCACGCAATCAGTAAAGAAAAATCCCGGTGTCCTGTTGACTGATTTGGCCGCTTCTTTAGTACTTTGATTTATTTAATATTTATTTAATTTATTGTTACATTATATTATTGCCTGCTTGATGGATACAAGTTATTTCTGAGTTCGGCTTTCAATTGTGACCAGTGGATTTGAAAAATAAACGTGATAGTTTAATCAAAATTAAATCGATAGCCTAATGATTCTCTATCTGCAACCTAATCTCCGGCGAAAGGCTTCTACACACAAAAAAGAAAAGCCCTGCATGAACACGCAGCATAATGAAGCGAGTGGATTTTCCTGATGGATCTCATAAGATGATTTCTGTGCGCACGGTTACAAACAAATGCTCCTTTTCTATGTGCGTTTCACACATAGAAAGTACACATCCGTGATAGTTTAAAAGAATTTGGAAAAAGCACATTTATTTTAAATTACCCGAGACCCAAGGCCGCGAATACCGAACCTGACCCGTGTCCGAGGCACTCGTAGAAGTTTTGGACCCGAACCCGCTCGGGTCGGACCTCGGGTTTTCGGATCCAAGTGGACCCGTGAAGACCTCTAGTCTACTCTGGGCCAATCCAGAGCCGTTGAAATTCAATATTGCAGACGCAGATGACGCATTTACTCCGCGCTGTGTAGTGAATGTGAACGTTTGACACAAAAACATCAACAAAAACACTGACCTCGTATACCCCTCCATGTTAACAACACTGGGAGGAGCAGCCATTTAGAGCTTATTTCTGGTTAATGATGTCACAGAATTTACCGGTAATTTGAAACCGATGCGTGAATGGTGCTTTACCGGTAAAAAGATGGAACATCGTTGCCTGTGTGAACAGCACATTTTTGTAATTTTACAGCAATTTACTGGTATTACTGTGTGAAAGGGGCTATTGTCGTTGTTGCAGAGTGGACTTCCCCTTTCTCACAGAATTAGATTGATTAAAACTTTATAATTGTAGTTATCATACTTGATGTAAACAATAAGAGTTGGAATCACCAAAGGACCCACAACACGATATTATCACAATTCAATATTTTTGCAATTTGAAACATTTTGCGATATGCTGAGTATTGCGATAACATGTATAGAGATATATTTAGAATGAAAAAGCAATATAGAGAGATTTGGTAGCATTAGGTACGTTTACATGGACACTTTTTGCTTCCATCGGAATGAATTCATTCTGATTGACGAATCCAAACGAAGTGTTTACATGAACGCTAAATAAAGTGATCAGGGTGATATATGTGTTTATATGTCACAAGCTTCTGATCGGATTTACTCTTTTGTCATGCGCACACTGCATGAATACACAGAGTTTCCCGTTGTTGTCGCATACCGTTTTAAAAACCAGACTTCATATTTTCACATAAATGACATTTTGGAAAATGTTTGCATTGCAACGCAGTTTGTGCAAGTCCAGAACAGAGATGAGTTGCAATAAGACAAAAAACGCGTAAGTTCCAGGGGCAGCTCCTTAAGTTCGGCCATCCTACACACACGTGACTGACCGCTCGCTCGCACCAACAGGAGGAAGAGGGTGTTACTCTCTACACTGCACTCAACCTGAGGGATTCCTACACGTTCAGTCTTTGAGGAGACAATAAAAACAGCGCATACCGCAGGAACGGTATAACGGAAAATATTAGTGGTTTTGAAACTGTGAAATTTTGAAATCGCGGTATACCGTGAAACCGGTAATCGGCCCATGCCTAGTGGGACATTGTGCTGCTCCACTTCACAGACGCCGAGTAAAAGGGGAGTTTTATAATGACGGGACACTCATTTACAGGGTTGCCAGGTTTTCACAAGAAAACCCGCCCAATCGCTACTCAAAACTAGCCCAATCGCGTTTCGAGGGGGTCCCCAGTTAAAAATCGTGTTCTGGGGGGTAAAATACACATTTTTGGCGGGGTTCCCCTGCTAAAATTCGCATTTCTAGTGGATAAATATCATATTATTGGAGTCGCTTCAACCTGCGGACATGAAAAACAACCCGCGGCAACAGTGTTAAAGTAGCCCAATTCCACGGGAAAACTGCAGACTTGGCAACACTGCTCATTTATGACACTTTATTCACCAGGAAGAACAGCTGGTTCCGCGCGTCATACGTCATTACACTATTTTTTCGTTACTGCACATGCGCAGTACTTTCCAGTTTCGGTTCTCAATCCGATCAAGTGTTTACATGTCCTCTCGCTCGGATTACAAAAGGAATAAACCACCCCTTACGATCCGATCGAAATCTGAATCGGATCTGGCCAATTCAATCCGATTGACGTGGTTACATGTGACTTTTTTATTCTGATTGTGCTTCTAGTCCTATTACGATCGGATTAGTAGGGTCCATGTAAACGCAGCTATTGATTCACTTATGCTGTTCGTAAAATTACAGTCTGAAAGAAAGATTTAAATTACTGAATTGATCCGTTTTCCCACAATATGCACGGAGCTTGTCATAACCAGTAAAATTATGTGCAATACTCACAATTCTAATTCAGGCCCTGGTAAAAGAATCATACTTAGTGTCTGTGTCTTGATACAACATCGGCATGCAAAATATTGCAATACTATGTCATAACGATTTTTCCCCCCACCCCTAGTGAACGGGCTTTAAAAGGATAGTTCGCCCAAAAATGAAAATTCTGTCATTATTTACCAATTATCAAACCTGTATGAGTTTTTTTTTTCATCTGTTGAACACAAAGGAAGATATTTTGAAGAATGTTGGTAATCAAACAGTTGGCGGTAGCCACTGACTTCCATAGTATGGAAAAAAAAATTACTATAGAAGTCAATAGCAATCTGGTTATCAACATTCTTCAAAAAAATCATCAACATGAGGGTGAGTAAATGATGACAGAATTTTCATTCTTGGGTGAAATAATATAAAAGAGCGGGAACTCACACTTGACTGCATGCAACACTCGGCTGTCCAGCGGCTTACGGCTGGGGTCATTGGTGGAGGAACGGATGCCGGTTCCACAGCTGTTGGCCAGAGTGCTCCTGCACATCATACAGAACCAGAAAATTAGACGTCATACAGTTTCGCTATTATGGAAGACATCTTTGATGTTTCCCAGACTCACCTGTCGAAGAAAGCAGCCAGCAGCCTCCTCAGAAGGACTTTGTGTCTGGTCCCCGCACTGACGTGACAGTTCATCAGCTGAGCTCGTGAGATGTACACGCTGGTGCCTGTGGACAATATACGTGAATCTCACTTAAAAAGGTGTGAAACATTCATATTCATGTCCTCAAGATATACAAGCAGATACATACTGAAAGTCTTACAAATGCCTTGTGACTCATCGATTTGCATGAATGCATACAAGTCCCAAAAATGAATGCTAATTGAATGAATACTAATCACGCAAAGCTCAGAAAGAAATGCAGCTTTCCTTTTTAGTGCTAAAGATCATCCATGTGTGTTAGTGCTAACTGTGACTTGTGAAGTTTGAGTATTAACAACTGCTTTTCTATTTATGTAGCTTTTCTGCACCTATGTCTTCATTAAATATGGTTGTTGTTCTACTGCATTCATCTGTGTGATCACTCATGCAGTGTTGTGTGCTCACTGCAGATGCTCATTAAATGCAACTTTTCAAATACAGAATATTGCTCCAAATAAAAAGAATTACAATAAACTCGGGTTTGAATGGGAAAGATTTGATTTTTTTTAAAGAAGTCTCTAATGCTTACCATGACTGTATAAGGCAATACAATAATATTGTGAAAAATTATTATTTAAAATAATAACCGTTTTCTATTTAACATTTTAAAACGTCATTTATTTGCCATCACAAGAACACAAGTCAAAACAGAAGTCGGTTATAATAATCAAAAAACAACAAAAAAAAAACAAATCCTGCCTCCATGGGGTACCTTTACTAAAACAACATTTCAAAACCATTCAAAAGCCTATTTTCTTGCTCTTAATTAAACATTTTTGTCTCATTTCCATTTTTGCTTTTCACTCCTCCAGCGCTTTGTATTTGTTAATCTTTTAATGACTTTCTGATGGCAATTTTTTATCGTTAGTCTTCTCGTCTGTTTCAATTCCTCATTTCATTTTCCACTTTATATTGCTTTATGTTTGGTCTTGTTCGAATGCTTTCTTTTATCGTATTTGTAAAGCACTTTGAGCTGCATGTTTATATATGCGACTGCTGTTTAAATAAAGTTCCAGCGATTAGCGGAACTCCTCTGTTATGTGTACTGAACAGATCCAGTCGGACGGCTCGGAGTCACTTAAGGCCATGCTTTACAGCTCACAAAAGCCTCCATTAACTTCAACAAGTCACTCAACAAAACCTGTTCTACACCACAATACCAAAACACGGCTCCTCCAAACACAGTTGACCTATCAATCACCACAAGAGATCATTTGCTTTTCATGGGCTGTTGAACATGACTCAGTTGTATGATGCCGGTTATCCTCCCTATTTGACTCTTCTATAGATTGACTTTAATATTGATTTATCAGCAGATGTTTTCCTAAAAATCCATACAGGGTGATATGATGATGGCTTGAACAACAAAAGAAGGATTTATTCCACCACAATACACCTTTTGCTCAAGATACTTGGGTTCATCTGTTGCATTTTGTTAATGAACGGAATGCGATTAGACTCAGACCTGAAACTAGCTCCAGTTTCTCTGCAGGGTCACCTTCCTCATAGAGTTTGGGATGACAGCGGTTGCCAATCTGAGCAATGAGCTCAGCGGGGAGAGAGGCAAGATCCTGTCGGCCACGCATCCTGGGCCGCGTCTCTGAGTGGTCCGGCAAGGCCTCCACACGTTCACCCGCTGAGAAAGAGCAAGAAGAAGAGAAGAACGGAAGTTTATGTAGAGTAGAGTGTGAAGACAAAAATCTCTGTGCATGCAGTCTAGACAGCCGTGAAGATTAAACCACTACTCGTCTTTTGACTCTCAAAAACAGACAGATAATACAAAGCTCTTGGGACCAAGACTAATAAAAGACCTGTGAAAACCAAACACATTCCGTTTTCATGCCGTCTGAGAGAAGATAAGAAGAACTTCTGATAAAATATTTGTGAGCTCCAAACAGTTCAAGCATTTAGCATTTAGCAAAAAGTGTGAATTTAGCTATGATGATATTCCTATTTAAGAAGCACAAAAGAAAGTAGACATTAGTTAACTTGTTAAAATGGGAACCAAAAAGGCAGGAGGCTGTATACATTACAACACATACAGGATCAAAGGAAGTGCTGGTTCAGGAAGTGCTAATTTAAAACTTAAAAACTCTGTCATCATCAAACCTGCGGGACTTCTATTTTCTTCAGTGGAACCAGGCGAAGACATTTTAACCATGTTCTGGCTGTTTATTTACCATGTAATCAAGAATAGGGACTGGAGCTGGCTTTTTGTGTCTTTATTCAGTCGATGAGAGTAGCAGTGATGTTTCATTTGTAAATTAATCATTCTTTTTAAGGAATCTGTTGATCAAGTTCACAAAAACGGTTTGAATTACTCAAATGAATGGGATTGACTCACTGATCAGAACTGTTAAGGAAAAGATTGTAACTGAATAATAACTCAGTTGCGAAAAAAGTAGCAGCAGACATTTTCATCTGTAATGTGACTTGCAAATTATCGACATAGAAAATGTAGGCTTGGGGACTTTGTTCTCTCTAACGGTTGATGTTTGAATTTTGAGATGTGGAAGCTGCAATCAACTACATGTCACCAGAGAGAAGAACGAGTTCTGACAATTTGATTAAAAACTACAAGGTCAAAACAAGAATGAAACACATGCATGGATGAATTTAAAAGTAAGAAAATAAGACTAATAATATGCATTTAATGTATTTTCAGTCCATTTCTCACAAAAAAAAAAACTATCGTATGGCTTAGGGTTGTGCGATGTCACGATTTTTGATCGTGGATGATTATAATGTATAGTATCGTGCTACAGTGCACATTCTATCAGTTGCAGTTCTGGAGCCTCAGTCTCAATATACTCAGACTTACATTCACATTAAATGTTACTCAGCGGTAGAGTTACACTCATGATACACTACACTTCACACAATCACAAAAGTACATTATGTGCTTTAAAGCCTTGTTGGTTAAACATTTCATTAGCGTGCTGTTCTGACATGCGTACACCATGTACACCTGAGGCGCACACGCACTAAAAAACCTGTCAAACAGCACCTGATTACTGGACTAAGTTATCTTTCGCATCTTATATAAGATTATTTGAAGAATGTGGATAACCAAACCATTGACTTTGAAAAGTAGAAAAAAAAATGCTATGGAAGTCACTGGAAACCAGCAACTGTTTGGTTACCCACATTCTTCAAAATAAATGTTATGTTCAACAGAAGACAGACAGAGTTTTTTATCTTCGCCCACTTTGCCCTAAATGTCTGCCATTCTTTTTTTATTTTATATTTTGTTACCTTGTAAGGCTTTGTTTTTAAAATAGGGAAATTAGTTTGGCTGTGCTGCTCAGACAACTTGCAAAATAGTAAAACCAAAATGACAGAATAGAGATAAAATTATGAATCGTGATTTTCCTAAAAAAAAATCGTGATATATTTTCGCCATATCGTACACCCCTAGTATGGCTTCAGAAAGCTTGAATTATAGTGCAAGAGCCATATGGACAACTTTTATGGTGCATTTGCATAGGGCTGCACGATTAATCGAATGCGATTGTCACGCGCCTTCGGATGGAGATTTACTGCTGATCACAGAACCGTGCTTCACTGAAAGATACGCATGACAATCGCAGCTTCTGTCGAATCGCGATTTCGATTCCATTTCGATTTATTGTGCAGCCCTACATTTGCATCTTTTTTGAAGTTTGAAAGCTTCAGTCTGCATTCATGATAATTGCATGGAAAAGACAACAAGTACATTGTTAAAATTTCAGCAGTTCCTTTCCATTGAAGATAAAGATGTCATAAAAGTTTGGAACAACGTGAGGTTGAGTAAATGATTTCTAGCATTTCAATGCATTCAGCAGTGCTGTGGACTCACCTGTAGCACCCACGTTGAGCATGCTGTACATGGTGTACATGTTGCAGATCTGCCTGTACTGCTCTTCAGTGCCGTCATCCACCGCCTCCTCTTCTTCCTCATCATCATGGTAAGAGATGGGCGAATCACTGGCGTAGGCACTCAAAGTACCGGGGCTGGTGCCTTCAGGGGTGGCACTGCTCGTGCCGTTGCCATTGGTGCTGCTGCCTCCACCATGACCCCCTGTGCCCATTCCAAGACCCATACCAAGTCCCATACTACCTTGCTGCTGAATAGCGCTTCCGCGTGCCATTTCTTGGGAAAAGCGAGCCGCCTTCCTCATCCCTCCTCCGCCGGCTGCACCCGAGCCTCCGCCGCCTTCCCGATTGCCTCCTTCCCAGAGTCGCTTGGCCACCGGCGTGCAAACCACTGAATAGGGTGAAGCCTCCGGCTGCTCTGTCTTCACCCGAGAGATGAGGGGCAACGGGGTCAAGCAGGAAGCAGGTCGACTGGCTGCCGTAGCCATCACCCCGCCTCCTCCGTTAGCCGCTGCACCCGCCGCCGTCTGGGTAACGGGGCTCTGAGGCTCCGATGGAGGGGTTTCTTCAGTATGGAGGCCCTGTGAATCACAGCTGGGCGAGCTGACTTTCAAGAAGAACTCCGTGCCCTTCTCCATAATCTGCTGGATCTGGAGGAAGCCAGCCGTGTACATGAGCAGAAACTGGTCTCCGACATTCATGCTGAGGCGGCCGGTGTAGCAGAAGGCCAGGATCTGCTGAAAGCTCTGTGGCTGTACGGCCGGGGGCAACTCCACCACCGTAGGGGTTTTGCTGCCCGCACTGCTGTTGAAAAGGTCACGGAAGTAGGAGCTGCTGGCCGCCAGCACGGCACGGTGGGCTTTAAAGGTGTGGCCTTTCACCACCACGGACACGTCGCAGTACAGCCCCTGCAGCCGCTGCTCGTTCAAACACTCCAGGACATTGTTGCCGAAGTTTGGGATCGCCATCTGAAGGGTCTGAGCCATGGCGCTATGGCCAGCACCACCAGAGAAATCTGAGCGACACCAGAGGAAGAGAAGGAGGGAAAGACAGATGGAAGAGGAAGAAAGAGATCTTTGTCAGCAGCATTCTCTTAGCAGCACAGTAGTTCATCCCTGAAGACACGTTGCAACCATCATTTGCTTTTAAAGCAGTAAAATCCACTGAATCTGACAATTTATTGCAAAGACACAAACGGCTACCGGCAACAGACTGTTACATTAAAAGGTGAAATATATGAGACCCCAGGGACGAGCCTGTAGGCACCTTTAGCAGACCGGCCTAGAACATGCAAACTCTGAAAAATAATAGGGGGGTTGGCGAGCCGCCTTTAAAATCCTGTGAGCGGGATGTGACTGCTAATCTGAATGAGATGGTGATTCAGCTGAGACAGAGATAAAATGGCACTCTTTACAATACTACAGCAGGGAGGGAAAGAGGGGGAGAGTGCCAGAAAGATACTAAACCAGTGATTGAGGTCATAGTTGAGGAAGATGGTGGAAAACAATGGGCTTTGACTGACATTGCAGTCAGTCTTATTACTGCTTAATGTGACACCATGAGCAAAGCCATCATTACAGCTCACAGCCTTGCTGCCGGGGAAATTCATTAGAAACGGTTAACCTGCACTTTCTACTATAAAATGGGCTGTTCAAAACTTTACTACAGAGTTTAAAACTGCGGTGCTGCTTACAACTCCCTCATATTTAGGAAACACACACACTCTCATTTGTTGGGGGAGGATATTTTGCGAATCAGCAGAATAAGTAGCAGAACTTTTTGAGAAGGCACAGATTGACATTTTGCCGTCAGCGCAAAAATTGTGGCTTATTGTTTAGCAATCATTTGGTGAAGTAAAAATTCCCCCTTAAACCATGTCAACTCAACCGACACGACAGTATAACACTATGATGTGATATACTTCACACATTAAGATTATACAGTGGCAGGCAGAACATCTGGGCACATGTTTCCCACACAAGCCATCACATTAAAAATCACTGAATCTGATCTGATCACACAGAACTAACAGGATGTTCGTGGTAAAAGAAGTACCCTCTTTGTCTGACTCCAGGCTCGCTCCCCCTTCCCTTGCATGCATACACACAAGCCATAGACATCAGACAAAACGGCTTGTTTACAGTTGGCCAGAGAGCAGTGGCACACATACACACTGAGAGGCCCAGGGTTTATTTAAGAAGCTTTCCCTGGAGGTGGGGGAGGAGAGGGACACCTTAGGTATGGTTATCACGGTGTACGAGGGGGGGACACAAACTTTTAAAGACTTCACAACCCAATCCGTATGTATGAGACTTTCAAACAGTCAACATGCAATAACAAATGAGGTTGGAGCATCTATCACATGTACTTGTAAAAACACAGAGAAAAAAGTAATCTCATAACATCAATCTTATTTTAATAATGAATAGGCTAATCAATCAGGCATACTCCTGAAATTTCAAGCACTTATTCTCAATGACAAATTCTTTACCTTAAAGGGACAGTTCACCCAAAAATGAAAATTCTGTCATCATTTACTCACCCTCCACTTGATCCAATCCTGTATGAGTTTGTGGTCCCCACTGACTTCCACAGTATTTTTTACTATACTATGGAAGTCAATGGCTACCATCAACTGATTGGTTGCAAACATTCTTCAAAATATCTTCTTTTGTCAGGAAAAAAATTAAGTTCTGGAACATCTTGAAGGTGAGCAAATGGTGACAGAATTTTCATTTTTGAGTGAACTATCTTGTAAATTCATGTCAGCTGAGCCACTTTTAGGCAGTCAATATCAAAAAGTGGCCCAGTTTACCTGAACTCACCCGAAATGTCAGTGGTTCTCAACCCTTGTAACTTCAAGGTCCCCCATGGTCAAAGTCAGAGGTGCTTTGTAACCCTTTTACTAATAGAAACTGCAGCTGTCAATATATAAAAATAATTCATGCTAGCCTAATTAATCTAAAGATTTACACATTTGGTGATTTGAAGACTACCACAATGTACCTTCAAGGAAAGAAAAAATAAATACATAAATCTGCTTCTTGGGTGCTACAGAGCTTCTCTGCTTAACTGGCCTATAACTTTTTTGAAAGGAAAGATAAGCAAACATGTATGAAGAGTGAAAAACACACACACACTAAATTTGCCACTACATATGTTTTATGTAAGAATGTTGAGAGAGAAAAATAAAGTCAATTTTGTTCGCCTATGTTGTATGCTGCACTAAAAACCTGTCTGAGTGACAGCACGGCAGTAACAGTTACATATGAAGTCCGTTAGAGTAACAGGATGCACGTTACACTATTTATATTACATTTACATGTATATTACAATATCTGTTCCAAGCAAATTAGCATTTCAATATTTAATAACATTCTTGAATATAACATGATTGAGGCCCACTTAGGAAGTTTACCGGCCCCCAGTTGAGAACCACTGATACATTTCAAAGAAAAAAGAAACAGCTGAGCTTTAGAATCCTGTCTAATACCGTGATGCCAAACCTGTGTGATGGAAGCCATTGAACATACGCCGACACATAAACTAACACTAATCCAACAATGCAGAACAGTGAAGTAGAATATAAGAAAATATAGAGCAAACCTTTGGCCGCCAGACCTGCCAGTACAGCAGTGTTATGAGGCTGTGTCGGCGGCAGGTTAACCGTGTGTCAGTCAATCTGCCCGTCCGTCCGCAATTCTCCACTGGCACGGGCCGCGAAGGGGGTGAAGAACGATGGCAAAAGCGCCCACTATGAGCCACTCTGTGAGAAATGCAGCACCTACATGCGAGCGAGCACAAACGCAGAGGGGGGAAGCGCCGCAACGCACCGAGGATCGCACGAAACGAGCAAGTTTGCCGCTCTTGTCCCGTCTTTGCCAATGCACCGCACCGAGAGCGAGCGTGCTTACATCCTCGGGGCCTAGACGGGTCCGTCTCGAGCGCGACACCGCCGAAATGAGGGTTCGCCCCGTTCTCCACGCCACTCAGTTTAAACGGCAACACTCAAGAATCTCTAACGATTCAAGGAGCAGCCGGTATTAGCATCCCTAAAATAGCCAAGTGCATACTTTTCAGTCCGCGGAATTTCAAAGTTAATGTTCCATAACGATTTCGCGCTAGTTCGGATACCCCACCTTATCTTATTTCACAGACATCAACAGGTCATCCCGGGACAAATGCACGAACTGGGGGCGAGCCAGACTGAACCAGCGCTGACAGTAGGGGGGGTCAGCCAGACTCCGCCGATAAGAAAATGATTTAACTACTCCCGGCCACAACAACATCAATCATGCTCAAAGTACTATCTTCAAATGAAATGCATAAATAGAAGCCTCTTGGTTAGCAGATTAAAAAGATCCCGGAAATTGGGTTTTTAAATTAGTCAGATCTGACTCCGGAACATCTGCCAGCACGCGCGTTCAGCCATGTCAGTGAGGTCGGTGAAGTGGTTAAACTTTTTGTTGGTACCATTAGTCTGTGCCCATCCCCCCCCAAACATCTCAAAGCCACCAGATTTCAGCCAAAATGCCAGGACAGCCGCTCGCGTGTCACGCCGCCTCACATGACCCGCTGCGGGGATTCGAAGGCGGGATACTCACCCCTTAGCTGGAGGCCGTTTCAGAGTGTTTCAATGGAGTCCGACGCGCTCGCTCTCCTTCACTCTCTCGCCTCGTCTGTCTCGCGCTGGAAACAGCCATTCATTGTGGGCATAGGCGCGAAGTCGATCGCAGAGCCGTCGAGCGCGAACTCTTTTTCCAGCTGGATAAAGAGCGCAGAGCCACTGATCATGCATAGACTAGACATGACTCCCCATCGTCACTCAATCGCATGATCATCACAGGCGCAGCCTCAATGCCAGGAGACCTATCCAGCATCGAGATGCATTTGCGCATAGGCTGGCACAGCAACAGCGAAAAGAGCCACCGCCTCGTTTCCATACGTGCGCAAAAAGTAGGCCATGCCTCTACGTCTCGCCAGACAGATCCCCAATATAGAGCACGCAGGGAACGCCATGAACTCATAACTATACACCGCGAGACGACGTGAACGGGAACATCAAATAAAGTTTGCTTGTATTGAATCAACGTTTAGTGTTGGAGAATTTTACTGCGTTCCGAAAGGATTAGTGTAGTTATGTGTGGCGCATTTGCTTTTAATATTTGTCGCTTATTTCATTAAAATCCCTGTAAAATTAATTTTAACAGCCCTATATATATATATATATATATACTAAAAAAAGTTTAGCAGTACATTTTAAGTGGGAAGCATGAAATACTTACTGTAAACTCGAATGATCCATGTAAGTTTGGCCGCACCGTGAACAAGGCCAAAATCTGCAGGTCATATACATCAATGTGTCTGAATCTACAGGGAAAACTATACGACCGCGTGACGTCACATGCTGACCCTATAGATGTCCTTACATTACCCCAGTGAGCTACATTTCCAATTGCATTTTTTTCTCTCTCTCTGTGTGTGTGTGTGTGTGAAAATCGTGCACACGGGCTTCCGTAGTCACGATTTAGTGAAAGTGAAAACACTGGAGCTGCGTCCGAAATCGCATACTTCCATACTATATAGTAGGCGAAAAACAGTATGCGAGGCGAACGCCGATGAAAGCGGTAAGAATTACGTGAAACATTGCTGATGTTCGCGCTGTAGTGAGGGCTCTTTAAATTTTGGCGCTGTTGTGAAGACGCATGTCACGTGACAACATCAACATGGCGGATGAAGTACGTCCGAATTCCATTCATACTACTCTTCTTCATACTATATAGAACGTACTTTTTTAACGGTCGAGAAGTACGTTCAAATTCAAAATGTAGTACCTACTAAGCAGTATGCGATTTCGGACGCACCCTGGGTTGCCAGATTGGTGTATGTGTATTATTACACTGCATTTCTTTTTGTTATGCTTTTGTGTCCACCTCTACAGAAGCACTGAAATCAGACAGGCCCATATTATATAACATTTCAAGCGAGGGGATTTACTTTGGGTGAACACATTTTCATTAGTGGGCTGGAGAACTAATGTAATTTGTCTTCTGTATCATTTTTGTTACTTTCAATGGGATTTTTTTGCCCCGAGCACTGTTACTTATGACCCTGATATTTACACATTATCCATAGTCTTTGATAACTCATGTGGTGCTTCACATAATTGCCACTTTATATAAACAGGATTAATGTGTTGAATTGACATTGTAAGAACTCTTTTTTTTTTTTTTTTTTAATAAATAAAAAATAACAAACCAACAATTGCTCACAAACTAACCGACATCTCAGTTCGGATTAAATTTTCAGTTTACTACCATATTACTGTAATTTTTTACAATGTAATATTTGTAAATGCAGTTTGTCTGTTTAATCATACTGTTCTATTTAATTGCATTTAGACACGTCCAGAATTTAATTGACCATAAATATTAATTTACCACAAAAACACACACACACTTCAGGCCCCATGTTGTACCCATAATCTGTAACAAGGATGTAATTTATTTGTGGAAAGTGACTATGTAAAATGTATACATTGGAAAATACAAACAAAAAGTAGCACTGCCCTCTAGTGTAACATTACTGTCAGTTACTGTAACATTATTACAGTAACTCAGGATGCAGAACGTTTTTTCTTCTTTGAGAAGCTTCAACCCATTCAAACCTTTATGTTAGCCTATGTATTCTTACTGCATCTTATGCATTCCAGTAATGATTTGTGATTTGTAACTAAAGTCCATTACAGAGTTAGTCACATGAGCATCATGGGGTTCAATGCCTTACTTAAGTTCTTATCTCAAGTCATATTTCAGGCCTTATATTACTGCACATCAGAGACCTTCAGTCATTATATTACATCCTATGTACTATGTATATTATATAACTATGTAATGTAATAATGCTTTTTTTAAAAGCTGAGCGGCATGTGTGTTGTTCTGTTTGTATAAAATGTGTTAATGTTTACAAGTACATTTCTTTTATTGACTCACTATTTTAGTTTTTGTGGTGCTTTTTATGTTACTATTAATATTTCACCCCTTTAATTACTTTAGTAGTTTGGTCATATGCTATGTGTGAGCTGCTTTTCCATGTGACAAGCAGCCTCCACCGTTTTTATGTGCTTTAGCATCTGCAGAAAACACTCACTAACTGTAAATTTGTCACCACTGACGGCAGCTGCCGTGTGGAAGTGTTTACCTGCTGAAAATGACATCCATAGTTAATTCACAGCTTGAGCACAGATTGTCTGGAGAAAAGAGTCTTCAATTGACAGATGGCAGGGGTAAAGAGGGAAATCGCTTCAGTTGAGGGCAACCATATTACTGTACAGTAGGAATTGATTGATTACTTCTGCTCACCACTTGATGGCAGCACTTGTACATTGAAACTTGGTGACTCTCTAAGCCGCTTGAAGCTTAAAGAAACACTGACGTGCAGCACTGGAATGAGGCATAAATTAACGTTATGGGTCATATGAGTTATGTAAAGACCCTGATAATATGTAGAAGCCTGTTAGCTATAGATCCATTTGTTAATCTTTTAGATGTCATAGACCCCAAATATGACCACCCTGGTGTGAGGGCCCACAATTTAAAAGGCAGCTGTATGTGTTTTCATTTATAAAGACCAAATTAAGACACTCTCAGAAAGCGGTACTGGAGCGGTATTCAAAAGGTACTAATATGTATACTTTAGGTACTGACATGTACACTTAACCTACTAATTTGTACTTTTTACGGTACTAATATGCACCCATTAGGGGTAAATAACCTTTTGGGAGTGTTTTGTGAAAAATTAATATTGTAAACTTGTAAAATATTATTTTGAAAATATTACCTTGTATTTTATTGCATTATTACTTTTGTCTACTCATTATAGTACTGTACTGTTAGATGTATTATTTATTCCTTTAAATCCATTTATTTTAATATTTTTTATTTACTGTATTTTATTCTAATTAATGATTTGTCTATTTAGTAAGTTAGTTTGAACTTATTTATATTATTGATATATTCTTACATTTTCGCACTGTTTTTCTCTAAACATTTTCACAGACCCCCTTAGACTCCCTTGCGGCCCCCGCTCTAGAAAACAAACACATTCCGCTTCTGTTTGCTTTTTAGTCTTTTTCAAAGCTTTTTCAATATGAACCAATTCTTCTAGTTCTCCCATTCTCAAATGATAGTTGAAATATCCACACATCAGTCGTCCAAACTATCTTGTTCTCCTCGCAGTCTTTTATGCCTCTGCTCAGTGCTAATTATGTCTTCCGATTCTGCAGACAACTAACAGCCGTTTTCCAGGAACGAACTCAGCATAGCTATTAAGTACCACGATGAAAGATTGGTGTGAATTTAACAGCTGGCTAAGATGGGCCAGATGGGACGTGCTACTGAGCATCCTGCCTATAAAACAAGTAAATAATTCTCATTCAGCTTAGCAGGCAGAAAGCACTGAGGGGAGACGCTCAGGTCATGGATGTGAGTTTCTTGGCTACTTATGAAGTTGTCAGATTTTGTGTACACCAGAATTTGTCCTCAATACCATGTTTCTACTTCTGAAGACTTTTTAAAGGAGAAAAACAAGCACTCAGAGCCATTCAGACAGATGGAGCGAGTGGTGTGAAATGGACTTGTTGGTTAATATTCACATGTTTTTCCGATTTCTGAGAAGGAGGTGCTTGCTGAATGGATGATAACAGAATGAACAAGGGATCGGGTGAGTTTTCCACCACAGAAGAAGCCTGTAGTCTATCAACAGCCGCTGCTACTCATCCCAGCATGTTCATTTATTCACGCCATCATTTATTCATCTTTCCTCCTCTACCCTGGTCTCCATTTTCAAAGTGAATTTCTAAGTTCCTCTGTGAAAGACAGGAACATGATGTTCTTTCTCCAAGAAAGTCCTCTCGTCACTCCTCACTCAACACAAAATAAGACCTTCGTACGTCAGCATTGTACGTTTTTAGTACTTTGTCGACCCGTTTTACACATAGTTTGTTCGCCGTTTATGAAAACACTGTGTCTGAGCTTCCGCCGCTCCCACAGATGGACCTGAGAGACTAGAGACTGACAGTAATGGAGGGATGGAATGAGAGTGTGAGCTGAGAA